CCAAACCCCCCTCTACGCTCCTTAGAATTCTTCTACCTTAAGGCCGGGAATCATTCCGCGCGGTAAATATACGTCTAACAGGGCAGCCGAGGCTATGAAAAGTCACGTAGGACTTTGGCCAACTTTTATCCCGCGCTCCGTAAGTGCGGGTAAACGCTTTTACCGTGCCGGGCAATTAGGAGTTGCATTCTACCGTTGCGAGAACCAGATCGCAGACCGGAGAAATACCATTAGCGTTGCCCGCACGGCGACACGCGTTTCGGCTGTAGACGTGCTCCCGCGATTCCAGCAGGATTGCATACGTGTGTGTGAGAGAGAGAGAGAGAGAGAGAGAGAGAGAGAGATGCATCTTTAGGGGTCGCATCCATACATTCAATTGGACTGCACGCGAAAAATGAACCGTATAGACAGAAAGCTGAAAATTCTTGTAATTTGTAAAATGTAAAATTACAACTTTATGTTTTGGCTGTGTGCATGTAACAGCACCCCTCGAGTATAATCACTCTATTAGTTTGATACATGTAATAACGAATGAGTAGGTGCGAGTTCTATGGTAAAACGGCGAGGACGTTTAAATATAATGCGAAAGTATAGGTGAGGACACGAATGCCATAATTAATGACCAAGTTTTGTGGTTGTACTTAAGTCATACTTTATTTTTTAGACACTAGAAAGTACACTATCGTTATTTCACGTTCCATTATCAGGCTCACTTATCGAGCACTGATAACAGTTATGCTAATCACTGTTATGATATATTATACTTGCAACGACTCGCTCGCTGCGATCTGACGCCATTTTGTGCATCTCTACGAATGAAAAGTGTGATAATCATGAAGATCCTTGAATAATATTATACAACGTCAGGGATTCTATAATGATAAACTTTTGAGGTCTTTTCTCCTTCTTATTGCCTTCCTCCCCCTCTCCCAAACCCGGTTTCGTAGGATCTTCGGGCGAGTCGATTGGCTGAAGTTGGAAAATGTACTCGTGCTTCCTTTTTCTTCTTTATCCGTTGTCTCTCCCTTATCGCATGAGCTACTCGTATGAAGTTTGCGTTATCGTCACTACTGTATCACACACTCTATTGCTGTATCACACTGTACTTCTATTAAAGTTTTTCCGACAAAGGCCCGATCTCGAAATTGGGACCCGTCAGCCTTCAGCTTAAGCTTCCGACTGTGTGCAATGCGTCAGCGGACTTGAGGATGCCTTTGGACTTCGGTGGTCCTGAATATCGGATTGGGCCTTGGTCTCAATTTTGTGATTATTACATAGATACACCTTTAAGATTAAACGTAGGATAGGTTAGGCTATTTCTCTTTTTTTTTCTTTTACCTTTTTTTTTTTGTAATTACGCGAAACATTCACTTTCTTGTGAAACGACTTAACGGCCGTTCGGAGACTGACGTATTTAGGTATTCGATTCGTGCTCTGACTGATCCTTTATTTTGAAAGGATCTATTACATCGTTGTAAAACAAAAAAGAAAAAAGTCATGGGAACTTTATTGTAGGATTTTATGTTTTATTGCAAAATTATACCACTCGATTGCAATTACTTGTATGGATTGTAAATGAATCCAGGCTGGTTGCGTGCTATGTGGCTTTTATTAATAATATATTCTACAATTGTGGAACTCCGAACGGTCGAGATTAAAGGAATTAATGAAAGTTTCTCTCTGTCCCTTTGTTCAAAAGATTCAAGTGGCCTTATTAATAATTTTCTCGAAGGATGAGTCCGAGTTGAAAATACTGATGGCTAGAGAGCAACAGACCCAAAGTGTCGGTGGAAACAGTTATCAATTGTGCGATCAATTCGTTTATTAGTTATCACTTTATCAGTCCGTATATGAAAAGTATCGACTGTTCGTTTTTATACGAGTATTTATTTGGCTTAAATTTAAAAGTTTACTTTTTGAACGAACAATATATTTCAATTTGGCGATCAGTATTTTAATTCGGAACTCCAAATATAACTGAGATGTCCTTAATCAGAATATTAGATTAATTAGAAGCAATTAGTGATTACGACTTGTATTATAAGTTTTAAGTTTACGTTAAGTAGCCTACATTGTCTTATTACTTTATATGTTATATATATATTTTTTTTAAGAAGGCACACGGTCCCCTTTACTATCGAACTCTGTGCGTTATAATCCTTCTTTGCGAATGAGTATCTCGCACTTTGATGTTCTCAGGGAGCTTAATTTTGCCACGATGACAAAAATGCACGTAAGAATCTCTGAAGTCGTATCTAAACGAAGCTTTACATTCGTATGCATAAACATAGACCTAACAATAATAAATTTCGATTAATAACGATTTGTGTTTTGAGATACAAAATACTTTGTTAAATTCTTCAAATATTCTACTTTGTTTTACCTATATATGGTCGATTACTAATTTGTAGTAGGTAGGTTATTTCGGTTCAAGTTTTTCGATACCGTTAAAAATTTTAGATAATACCATTATAACATTTTCCGCTTAAACTACAAAATAGTTGCTTTGTAACTGTACTGTCATAATTTGCTTATACTAATTGTGTTTTCGTGGCGAAATGCTTGGACGTAAGGGTCGAGGACCGTTGTGCCTTCGTACACTCGTCAATTAGTTCTGATTGCAGGAGGAGCAGACATCCATTTTGTGATTTCATAAGCAGTTGTTCATTTTTTTTAATACTTATGTAATGCTTACTTAGACTAGCTTCTGTATCCTAGAGTGTTTCAATAAATGACAATGAAATTAAACTGGATGTTCCTTTCAAATCTCCACTTATTCTCTCTCCATTTATTGATCAGTAGATCTATACCCGCCTGATACGAAATTTAATTGTGTCATCTTTTTGCATTACTCCGAGGTAGTTTATAATTGACTGTTTAAGTTCCCATTCTTATTGTTGGCTTCATAGTACTAGCAATCAGAAAGTATTTAGATGGTAAACGAAGCTCAGGTGGAAATAAAGAAGACACTCAACTTGTAATTTTTAGTTTTTGTATTAAACCTATTTATTCATGGTATAAGAAACCTTATACAGCTGGGTCATCACCCTTAGTCGTGCGAGTGTAAATCAACTGGGCATGATGCTGAACAACTTGTTTAATCAGGCCCTTCTGTTGTAGCTCGATGAGAGCCCTTCTGGCTAAGGAGCCGCGAATCTTCAGCCTCTCGCTGACAATCGAAGGTGTGATCAATTTATATTGTGGCACTTCTTTCAACAATTTGTCGTAGGTGCCCTTGTCAAACAACACCTGGTTGTTTAGCTTGTCACGGACTTTTCCTTTGGACCACTTCTGCAGTAATAAAAGTAAGGCATGAACAAACGATGTAATACGTAGAATATCTAATTGAATGTTTTTTAATAACTTCATCAGTCTCATTAAATCAGTTTTTTGCCTCCACGTTATGTCAGGCCAAATTGAATATCATCATCTGAAGTTTTAAAGATATTTAACTGAAGCAAAAGTATATTGTATTGAAACTGCGTACCTTCTTCTTTGCCTTTCCACCGGATCCACCCTCCTTCTTTTTCTGGGTCTTTTGGGGCTGTTTCGAAGACCCCTTCGTGTCCTTCTTCGGCGGCTATAAAAAAGAATGTTACTTAAAACCTTCGAAAATAATATAAATTGATATAATCCTATCGAAAACCTTATGAAATCGAACTCTACAAAAATGATTGGTGTTTAAAATTTATAACTATAATATACAACACTTGAAAAATGAATGTAAATCAAGGTTAGATACACTGTTGATTCTGTAGCTTTGACAGCACAATCATAGCATTTCGTGAAATATCATAGATATAGCAAAAAACCAACGATATAAAAGTATATGCTTAAGGCAATATTGTAACAAAATATACAATAAAATATAAATTAATTGTTGGTGCCAATAGTAGTTTGTTGTGTACACCATGTGGTCACTCAGGTACATTTCTCAAGAACGATCATGAACAATATTCTACATATTTTTTTAGTCACATTATACATAAAATTGTTGTATATATATTTCACTGATTCACGAACGTATCTTTAATCACTTGGGATTTATATTAATAAGATACTTTAATAAAAATTAAGAGCTTCGAACGAAACAATCACTTACCATGATGGCTGACGACTCGGAAAGAAAAGGGAAGCTCGTCCTGAGCCATCGTGGCTTTCCAATGAACGCAGTGCCATCTATCACAACTTCCTTTATGAATATGATATTTAATAGTGAAATTAGGAATTGTAGAATAATAATATATACTGCGCAATTATTAATTTCCAATGTGTTTCATTTATACATAAAACTATTCTCATTCTTTATAAACATTAGTTAGGTTGTCATCTGAGTTGTCAGGTTGACAGGAGTGGCTGAAGCGTGTTCATCATGGCGCTCCCCCGAGCATTTTCACAGCCGGGCAAAGTATTTTTTTGATATTCCGAAAATATGTATTTAATTTGAAAAGGTTCCTTGTAAACCGGCCAAGTTTTTAATATCGAATTTTCTCCCATTAACTCTGTACAGGATAGGTGAGTGTATTTTTATCTCAGTTTTCATAACCGTCTGCATCGGTAGACGTGTCACTATTTTCTCAATCATACAAATTAAAGATAACAATTCCCGATTTTAATCCATTGGTTACACATAAGTCATATCTTCTAAGTAGGAATATATTTAATTAAAGGCGCGTAGTGAATAAAATTCATTTCAGTATGTTTTATGCGAGTGACATGTGTCTTCCATAAGGTAGTTGAATAATGTATATTGTGGAATATTATTTGTAACAATACCTCTTTACCTCAATCTAGTGTAATATTAATTATAAAGAGATGTATTTATTTTTACTATGAAATATGTCAAATTAATATTTATTCTAATATTTTTTATTTGTTTAAAGTGAGCTGTACCAAACTAAAGGCATCGTAAACATACTGAAAATGCTTCCATTGTCGCACAAGGATTCCAGGGGTCTTGGAAGCAGGATCAAGGAACAAATTTTGGGTTGGAAGCGTCTTATTTTCTCTGACAAAAATTCAAGAAACTTATTTCTCTTCCTACTGCTCAATCTGTCATTTGCATTTGTTGAACTGACATATGGAATATGGACAAACAGCCTGGGCCTAATTTCTGACAGCTTTCATATGTTCTTCGATTGCACTGGTTTACTTGCCGGATTAGCAGCATCGGTAATTACAAAATGGAGAGCAAATGATAGATACTCATATGGATACGTGAGAGCAGAGGTCATCGCTGGATTTGTAAACGGATTATTTCTACTCTTCATTGCCTTTTTCATCATGGCAGAAGCAGTGGAAAGGGCTATCGAACCCCCAGAAGTGAAGCATGAAAGACTCTTTGTGGTGTCAGTGTTAGGACTCTTAGTGAATTTAGTAGGAATATACGCGTTTCAACATGGCCATGGACACAGCCATGGAGGAGGAGGAGGAGGACATGGTCACTCTCATTCTCACGGTGATCACAATCATTCTCACAATCACAGTCATGGTCACGGTCATGATCATCATGATATTGACATTGACTCATCATCCATCGGTGGAAATTCTCAAATAATGAAAGGTGTCTTCTTGCATATACTAGCGGACACCCTCGGTTCCGTGGGCGTTATAATATCGGCAGTATTAATGCAAATGTTCGGCTGGATGAGAGCTGATCCCATCTGTTCCATGTTTATTGCATTATTGATCGGTTTGAGCGTTATATCTCTGATCAAAGAATCGACATTGATTCTCATGCAGAGACAACCTGCGGCGCTAGATCACGTTTTGCCTCAGTGCTATAACAAAGTGACACAACTAGCGGGCGTTTATAGTGTTCAGGAACCCCACTTCTGGACCTTGTGTTCGGACATTTACGTAGGTTGTATGAAATTGGAAGTAGCCAGGACGGTAGACCCCAAATACGTTGTCGCTCATACGCAAATGATTTTCCAAGCTGCAGGCGTGAGACAGCTTACCGTTCAATTAGACTATGCGCCAATGTGATCCATGAAAAATTCAAAACATACAAGCTGTTCGAATACATTCGCGGTACCGCATTCCATTTGCGGTGCATGCGATAAAGAGGCGAGAAATAACGCCCTGATGCAAAATATATTCACCCTGTTAAAACTATGCGGATGTGTGGTTTTGAATGGTGGTGGTTACAGGCTCGGTTTACAAATTGTTTAAAATTTTGTACAAACAAATTGTCACAAAGTGCGTAGCACGACTCGCGTATCACAGTATAAAAAAAAGTTACATAAGATGCGTGACAAATTACTTAAGCTGTTGTGAATACGCTACTATTTAATTATATTTCTAATACATCAGGCTTCAATGTTTCTCGTTTCTTTATGTATTGGGATTCAATACAATTATGTTAGATAAGAGAGTGTCAACTTGTCGCGATGATTAATATATAAAGAACGAACAAATCCCTATAAATTGTATGCCGCGCTGTAATACTCTAAATACTAGAAAATTTTAACTATCTAGTATTTGGTTGAACAGTTGATAAGAATTGATAAAATTGAACGAGTATCGAATTTATCAATGTTAACCCTGACGCCTAAAGAAATAGAAAAAATTATTGCTAAATTAATAATTACAGCGATTTGCTGCAGCAGGGTACGAACAGCATGTTTAATGGAACGATATCCTTGCATCACAAGAAAAAGAAAAAGAAAAAAAATACGAGTCTGTAACGTTTCTAAAAAAAAATAGCCGTCTTGTTGAATATTTTTACGTTTTTAAGAATTTATACTTCTAAGAGATACGATTTTACTCGATATCTGTACTCCATATATGCTGAGTCCGCATTTGTTTCCCAGTTGTTATTAGTTTAAACCTCCTGCCAAATTTTGTTTTAAATTTATTTATTCATCTACAATCCCGCAAGTTTACACGACTCAGCACGTATGGATTCTACGTTATTTCATAATAAAATTAATTCCATTCATTGGTCGATCACTCATTCATTGTACAATACTATAGGCCAGTTACGATTAAAAAAATGATTCTTAAAAACTGTTAAGGTATTTAAGCCAAAATTTAGACATGAGACTTCTCTTACAATTAGTCTCTTGATACACTTGTATCAGAACAAGCAGATTAGAATAATTATTTACACGCGGCCGTAACTTTCAAGTAACACAGTACACAACCAATAGTTCTGTACAATAACAAACAATCGAATAGTTACAAGTATCTTGAGCATTTAATTAATTTTACATCAAAGTCAGCATTAGCGTTCCTTGTAGCTCACGTGCTTTTATATTATGCGAGTGAGCATCACCGCCATCTTGTTATTACTTCTGTAACGTCGCACGTGAGACTATTCAAATATTTTAACGAGGAACGTCAATGGCGGGATATTTGAAAAGAACTGACCGACTCTGTTTCTCTATGACTTGAAAACATTGGAATACTTACATTCCATTATATTAACGGGTGAGATTTATTTCATTATTTTACGTGGTGTTGTACGCCGAATCCTAAATAGCGTTCTATTTATTGTCACGATATCTGTAGAAAATGTCCAACTAAAATGATACAATTACCCAATCTACGTAGGAGTGAGTGAGTCGCGCTACGCCTGCGTGTAAACTGCATGAATACAGTATAAAATACCCCATCGAACACAGCTGTCAATTGACAAAAGTGGTGACAAGTTTATTAATTAAACAGTAAATGGAACAGTAAATGGTGCATTTTCCGACGAAGTTATATGTTTTAGGAGAATTCTTACTATATTTGATGTAATATGTATATGGAAATGAGAATGCTCGAAAGTGGTATGGACAAATGTGTGTACATAATAAAGAGATGAACTTATAATTAAGAGTTTGTTAAAACAAAAATCTTCTTGGCCTATATATTATATAAGCTTTTGTTATCTGAACCGCAATTAACCATCAAACACCACACGTGGTGGTGTTCAAAGGTTAATACAGTGTCCTGAACGGGATATATGGATACATAAAATATCCTTGAACAATACCCTCATGATTTAGTCTCTATGAGAAAATATAAATTTTATTCCTATAATCAAAATACGTAAGTGCCTTGATGTTGCTTCTAACCTGTAATTGAATTTTGTGATCCGCTTTTATTTTTTGCCTCCTATTTAATTTCCCAAGGGACCTTAAAACTTTGGGTTCAATTTATCGTCCAAACGCATTTAGGCTCAAGCTATTACGGTGGCACGTGGGTAAAAGGGAAGAGGGAAAGAAAAATAAAGATAAGAAAATGATCTTCACGAAGTTCGAGTTGTGGGTTCTGGTCCCACGCGTGGTAATCTCTTTCTTTAAAATTACTTTCAGAGTGTGAAGAACTCTGTAGAATTGTAACAAGAAACGAGTCATTAGCAGTGAGGTTATTTTGGATATTTTTTACTTTTATTTTTGTTTGTTTAATCACCCCCCCCCCCCT